GAGAGAGAGAGAGAGAGAGAGAGAGAGAGAGAGAGAGAAAGAGAGAAAGAGTTTTGTGTGTGACAGAGTTGGGGTGCGGGAATGGCAGTAATTGGGGTAGGGTCCACAAATGTGATAGATAGTTGGTGTGTGAGTAATGTCTTTATTATCCTTGATGAAGTCTAATTTTGACATTTTTTTTAGTCATTAGATCATAAGATCTAATGGCTACAATTTATTCTCATTTCTTTCATGGAGAACCATTCTCATGTGAACCCAACCCTATATATATATATATATATATATATATATATTTTATTGAAAGTTTTAAATACTCTTTAAAAGCTTTATTTGTTATTTTTTTTAAAACTAGTACAACACTCGTGTATTACACGGGTGTTTGTTAATTTTTTTTCTTAAAATCTAAAATTAATGAAAAAAAGTAGTTTGAAAATTTAAATACCTTTTATAAGAATATATATATTATTATATATTTATTATGACAGTTTTTATTTGTGCAACTTACTTGTGTTATATTATACTAATTTTTTAACTTACAATATATAACTACATTACATATAAATATATCAATTGGGAAATAAATTTATTTTTCTAATGAATTTTAATAAATATTATTATTTTTTATTATTATAATGATAAATATAATTTATTTATTTCGTATATACAATATGGATGTCAAATCGAAGATCATCAAAAGATGATTAATTTGATATATTATATATGTAGAACCGATAAGAAATACAAAAGTTATCAACTTTTACAATACATTTATAATTCAATAGCTTATTGAAGGAAACAAATCAAAATTCAGGGATATATTAGTCACTTAGTGCCTCACTTGTAAAATTACAAAGAATTAAAGGGTTATATTAGTAAAAGTGATATTAAAATACCTAAGTTAGCTAAATAATATTTATTGAATACCCGAACCTAGATTATTAATTATTAATATATCAATATTATTTATTCAAACCGAATTACGGAGCATGATTTTTCGCCAGATAGGATTCCGAAGCACCAGAAGCAGCCACGTAGGCTCAGCGCATTCGGGAATTATATATAGGGAGGATTAAGATTTGTTCGCCTTGTTTTAAAATATTTTTTTAACTCGTCTCATTAAAGGTGTGAATGAATATGAATGTCATCGGTTTTGGTTGGATTTAGTTGATCGGAGAGAATTTTTTTTTCCAACGGCAAATAATCTAAATAAATAGCAAAAATCAATGTACAGCAGACAACCAAGCTGGTTGACAGATCACAGGGCAGTTACACATCCAACTCCCCTTACAAAAAAGAAACAAGAACAGAAGGAGACAAAGGCCTACTACAAACTAGAAAATGAGAAGAAAGAAAACTCATCAATCAAGGACAAGATGTCATATGCTAAGGAACTACAATAAGTATCGAAAGGTGATTTGAGAGAAAACTTACTGCTTACAACTTTATTATTGATTATGAATCAACAATTAAACCATCCCGCTTTTTTGGCCTCCAGCATAATCCATCTAATTGTCTCCAACCATTGGCCTTCCAAGCACCCTTCATACTAATAGTATGTTCCAGCAACTGATCTGAAAGCCCTTCCTTCTTGATAACACAACACATTTTCAAATGATCTCTTGAGGAGAGTTGGGCACTGACAATGAGCTTCCATTGCCCTACCCACTGGCAAAATTCCTCCTCTTGAGACCCTTGAGGCTGCAAGGCTAAAGTTGAGCTTGATTGCTTGCAAGATATACTGTCACAAAACTCTAGTCACTCTAATCTAGCCCAATCAACTACCTGCTTCTCATTGGTCCTTTCGTTTCTAAACAGTCAACCATTCCTTGTCTTCCAGATCTACCAAAGAATATAGGTTGATAAGCTAATTATGTCTTTGAGGCTTCCGGCCAAAGGCTTGCTGCATAGCTCTCCCCACCACAGTCTGAAAGATATATTGTTCTCTTCAAATCTGCTCACTCCATACCACTCAATTTCCAAACAAGCTTAGCTCTGGTACAATTAAACAGAATATAACCTAGATCTTTAGCACCATTACCACAAAGAGAGCAGATTGCATCCACCACCATCTTTCTCTTTAGCAACTGATCATTAGAACTGAGAAATTTGTTCCAGCACCTCCACAAGAAATGTTTAAGTTTATTTTTGATAGGGAGATGCCAAATGACATTCCACAATCTAGATGCTGAGAAAACCTGAGTGCTAGAACCAGCTTCACCCCCAGAGCTCAAAGCTTTATTCATCATAAAATCGTAAGCAGATTTCACACTAAAGAAGCCAAATTTCCCATAATGCCATATCATTTTATCCTTTCTACCTGTGCAAGAAATGGGAATTTGCAATATCTGCTCTGCTTCATCAGGAAGAAAAATTTGCCTAACTAACTCTTTGTCCCACCTATTACTCCCCTCAAGCATCACATCCCTCACAATGGACAGCTCATTTTTATACTCAGGGCTACAACAGACAGGTTTGAAATAAGGTGGTTTAGGCAACCAAGGGTGATCCCATATAAAAATACTCTGGCCATCCCCAACCAGGTACCTAACCCCTAAGTTCAACACAAGTTCAACACAGGCAAAACTCCAACCCAACTATTCCACAGCCAAGACTCCCCTTTAGACTTCTTAGCATTGAGAACACACTCATTATGAAAATATCTGCCCTTCAACACCTTAAAAATAAGCAGATTAGGGTTGGTAGCAATTTTTCACAATTGTTTAAGCAAAAGGGAATCATTAAAGATTCTAATATTTCTAAACCCTAATCCACCCTTAGCTTTGGGCTTGGCCAACACCTCCCAACAGGCCCAATGATTTCTATCACCCCCAGCTTCACTCCTTCCCCACCAAAAAGAGGCCACCAATCTATAAATATCCTTGCAAATACCAGCTGGAAGTTTAAAGCAGGACATCACATAGGTAGGGAGGGATTCAATGATGGATCTGATAAGCACCTCCCTATCTGCCTCACTGAGGAAATTGTTCTTCCAGTTAGCAAGTCTATTCATCACACACTTAACAACATATTTAAAGGTATTATTCTTAGAAACTCCTATCCCTAGAGGCAATCCCAGGTACATGGAGGAAGTGACACACTGAATACCATTTAAAATATTGCAGATGACAGATTTTGAACAATCATGGGTATCCTTAGAGATAATAATGGAAGATTTGGACATATTCACACTTTGCCCTCAGGCTGATGTAACGCCCCGTTTGAATTTGAATTATTTGAGATTATTTATTAGCTTATTATTGCCATTATTATTGCTTATTTATATTAATATCATTTTATTATTATTATTATTAGTAAATATTTATTTGTGATTAAATGTCTAATTGTGATTTTGCTCATTATTATTATATATATATATATTGCGTGTATTATAAATATAAATAATTCGATTTTACTTATTTATTTTGGGCCATATTCTTTTAAATCGAATCGAGCGAAAATTTTTATTATCGCGTTGTATTCCTTTCAGCCCGATTTAGATTGATTTTCGATCACTTGATCAATTAATTTTGGTCCATCATGAGTTAACAACTTAAACCCAATAAGAGATATTTTCTTGGCCCAATTGAATTAAAATTGGTGGCCCAATTTCTTGTTTTATGTTGGCCCAAATTCCAATATTTAAATTGGCCCAATTTGGAGGCCTAATTGCATCGGTTGTGAAGCAGAACAGATATTCCTCCTTCCTACGCGTACGACCAGGTTTCTCCGTTCCTCAACGACTAAGTTCTTGTTGCGATTTTATGGGAAAAATCTTCCTCGCATCGCTGATTTATCTCTCATCTTATCCCTATAAACTGATCGAGTTTCAGTTCGGTAGTCTTCTACTTTATCATTCAGCACATCTTGCCCTAAAAATATTCAGTCCCCACCATCATCTCCGGCGAGAGCCCTGCGATCACCATTTCCGGCGACCTTCTCTTCGCGCAGGCCATCACCACCGTCGTCCCTACTCGTGATCCTCCATCACCCAGCAAGCTTCGACCACCACTGCACCTCTCCGTCGCAGCACCTCCCGACCACGTGCAGCGATTCCAGAGGCTTCCTGTTCGTGAGAAGACCCCGTGTTCAAAGTTCCGAATCCCGTCGAGGCTCCGTTCATTCCAATCGTTCGACCCATTTTTCTGATTTTTAGTATTCCCGAAGACGGGAAATTTCCTTCGATCTTTTCCAGATCCTGCGTATTCGAGTTATTCGTTAATTTTATCGTGTTCGTCGAATCGATTTCTCGTTAAATTGTTCGCTTTAATTGTTTGTTTGTATATCGTTTTGTTTGTGGAATATTCGGGGATGATCGGAACTCTCGATTTCAAAAATTGAGTGTCGTTAGGTTGCGTTGGTTGTTTCGGTTTGCTTCGGAGTCCCGTTATGTTGTTTCGGAGTTCCGTTCTATTGTTTCGGGGTCTCGTTGTATATTATTTGATGTCGTTTAGTTTCGGCCCAAAAACCCATTTTTAAAATATTTCAAAATGTTGTATATTGTTATGTTCGTTTGTTTACTTATTGGTTGAAACCCGGTTGTCGTTGGATTTAATGTTGTTGTATTTGGTCGAATTTTGTTGTCCAGCAGCTATGTTTCTGCAAAATTTAGTCGCAGCCCTGTAGTTTTCTGTCTGTTCAGTTCGCAGTCCAGGAATTTATTAGAATCAATATACTTTAATTTTGCATTTTAAGTTTCAAATCGGCCAGTGGCGCAGTGGTGCGCAACCGACATTTATGTGCAGATGTCGCGAGTTCGAATCTTGCCTTTGAAGCCCACATTTTCTTTTTATTTACTAAGTGCCAGCCAGCGTGCGGGCCGTGTGGCCCGAAAGCAGCCTGCGCCCAGCCCGTTGTTTCACCCAGCTGTGGCCCGCGTTCGGCCCTCATAAAGCCCGCGGCTCTCAGCCTGGTTTCAGGCCCAATTCGCGCATGGTCGGCCCAATTAGCGCGGCCCGCCAGCAGTACATGTGGGCTAGTCTGTCCAGTTTGGCCATTTTAAGCCAAATTTTGTGTTTCGGAGTCTGTTTTCGTACCGATTTCAATTTTAAAAATATTTTTTTTTTAAATAATAAAATTTTGGGAAAATTATTTTAAGTCCCGAGACTCCAAATTTTATCCTCCAAGCCTTATTTTTCAAAAATGAGAGAGTTCCAAGTCCACGAAAAATCCGATTAAAACCCTTAAGACTTAATTTTTATTAAGTATGGGTTTTATGTTAAGTTTGAGTAGTGAGATAAATTATTGATAAATTATCTCGCTTAAATGTAGGTATTTGAGGAGTCGAGCCTCATCCTACGTACTTGCTTTTGTGTGCGACATTCTACCTCGGTTTCCAGGTGGGTTTATTTATAAAATTGTCTATGCTTGAATAGTGAAATTGTTTGCTTACTTGGGTATGATCAAAGTATGAAATGTGTATGTTTAACTTTCGGCGTGAGCTGTACCGGACGTCGAACGTACCCCGAGTGGGTAATCTCCTCTTGTGATGGATTTGCTGCCTAAAACCCTCGGGGTTGGCAGACCTGTCTAAAACCCTCGGGGTTGACAGTGGATTTCCCGTCTAAAACCCTCGGGGTTGACGGATGACTCTTCTACTTTGGCGACGTTAGATTTCCCGCGGGGAGACGATACGTGGACCAAATGTAGTCTATTCTGATAGGTGTGCACATGAGATATGTAATGGACTCTGGATAGGAGATGGGAAGAATTTGATTGCCTATGTTCATACTTGTGACCATGCCATATTTACTTTCTGTACCCATTTAATATAACTATTCATTGCATAGTGGTGAGCACAACGGATTCCATCTGTGGTCATCCCCACTTGCTCTTCATGGATGCAGGTTGAGCCGGCGGCTGCATGGCGGCGAAAGACAAGTGGTGGTCGGTTATCTGACCAGAACTTATCATATAGCTTCCGCTTTTCTATATATAATATGGTTACTTTTGTCATTATGTTGAACTTTGGATTATTTATGATTTGAATACCGGTCTGGAGAGATGTCCCGTTTGCTAATGATTGATTTCGAAACTTTGTTTAGAACCCTATGAAGGTGGTTTCGATTTAACTCTTGATAATTGATGATGTTTAAATTACTTGCGAGTAATTGATAATTCGTAAATGATGTTTATATGTCAAGTAACGCCAAATAATTTATGAAAAGAATTTCGAAAAATTTTCGTTGACTCTTTGAAAAGCTTTTGACTTTTGTCAAATAAAAGTGGGGCGTTACAGCTGATTTATAGGAATCCAAGATAGAAGCAATTAATCTAGCATGGTAAGGAATAGCTTTACAAAACAAGATAGTATCATCAGCAAAAAGAAGGTGAGAGACAGGAGGAGAAAAGCTACTGATTTTAATCCCAGAGTAATTATAGAAAAGACAAGCTTGCACTACCAAATTAGAGAGGGCTTCAGACAAAATAATGAACAAGTATGGAGAGATAGGATCTCCTTGCCTAATACCCCTAGAGGGTCTGACAAAACCTAAAACCTGCCCATGAACACAGAAAGAGGAAGAGGTAGTGCTAACACAAGCAGCAATCCAAGACACAAAAAGGTCTGCTAAGCCAATTTGCCTACAGACTTTAAACAAAAAATCCCATTCTACAGAGTCATAAGCTTTGGCAATATCAACTTTAACTGCCATGACTTGATTAGGACATTTTTTCTTGCTGTTAAGGAAATGTAAGCATTCATTGGCAAAGACAACATTATCAAGAATGTGTCTCCCAGGAACAAAAGCTGATTGAGAGGCATTAATGCAAGGGCTCAAAACAGATTTAAGTCTATTAGCTAAAATTTTGGAAATGATTTTATAGATAACTGTACATAAGGCAATAGGTCTAAAATCTGAAACAGAAGAAGGATTATCTTTTTTAGGGATTAAAGACAAAGCAGTATGGTTTAAACCCTTAGGCATTTGTCCACTACTAAAAAAATTGCAGACAGCAACACAAAGGTGAGATTTAACAATATGCCAACAAGATTGGAAAAAAATGAGTAGTCATACCATCAATGCCCGGAGCTTTAGAGGGTTCCATGTCATTCAGAGACAAAAAGATTTCCTCCTCAGTCACAGGGGCAGCCAACCTTTGATTCATTTGTTGAGTTACTGTGCAAGGTATTCCTTGTAGAATTTCTTCTCCATTACCAGAAGTAGAAGAAGTAAACAGTTGTTGGTAGTATTGCTCCAGAACCATAACAATCTCCTTCTCAGTTTTGCACCTTCTACCCCTCTTATCAGTAAGATTGGCCAGACTGCAAACCTTTCTTCTTTGTTGGACTGAGGCATGGAAGAACTTGGTGTTCTTATCTCCTTCCTTTAGACACTGCAATCTTGCCTTATTTTTTCAATAGATCTCTTCCTCTTGGTAGGCCTTATGCAAAAGATCCTTCCACTTCTTCCATGTAACCCAATCTCTAGAGCCCCCTGTTGTCTGCATGTCAAAAAGGGCTTTCGGGCAAATATCTATTATTTTGGCAGAGTTAGTAACATGAGATTTTTTCCAAGTCAGCAGAGCCATTCTAACATTTCTAACTCTAGCCTGAATGCTATACAGTTCAGGACCTATCACAGGTAGATTCCAGTTTTTTCAACAATATCATTAAAACCTCTAGTTTCACCCATCTGGCATCAAATACAAACCTTTTAGGTTTAGACTTCAAGGTATGATCACTCTCCAAGATTAATATACTGTGGTCCGAAGAAATGACAGAAATATGCTTAACTATAGCATTGGGGAAAGTAGAAAGCCAAACCTGAGAGAAAAATATTATATTCAATTTTGCTTCCACAAAATCAGGGCCTTGCCTGAGATTAGACCAGATGAAATGATGCCCTAAAGTCTTAGTCTCAGTCATGCCCATGCAGGAAACAAAATCAATAAAAGGCTGAAAACTCCCCTGGTCCCTAATCCTCCCTCCCTTTTTATTCTGATTAGATAATATAGCATTAAAATCC